CTACCTAGCCTGATGCCCAGTACCTGCAGAAGTCTGTACACCACACAGCACCTTTACTTCCAGTTCATGTTTAATATGATGAATTTTCTCTTTTCCACAGAGCTCAACTTCTAAGAGATGTCAGAGAATCCTACATTGCCTTTTGCTTCAGTGAAACTCTATCTTGACTGGTTATGCTCAAACTTTAATGAAATTAATTGTAATGGATAGACCTTAACGATTCCTATTCTCCTTTACTGTTGTCTTTGAACTTTTCATTGTTTGTGCTTGGATGAACCTTCTGGTCAATAGCAGAGTGAACTTCTGCTGTTTTTTTGCATATACTTAATTTATTAAAGAATACTGCTTTCTTACACAGAAAAAAAAAAAAAAAACCACCACAAAAAACACCCAAAACCCCCAACACCCAAAATACAACCAAATGTTCTTGCTCTGAAAGCAATTTGTCCTGTATTTATGGAAAAAAAAAAAAAAAGGAAAGTTAAATGAATGTAACCAAGTAAAACTACCATCAAGCTGGCCCTAAGTTCAAAGTTCTGAAAAATGTTGTCAACCTTCATTTTTCCACAGGTCTGGTAACCTACCTATGTGCAATCTTAAAAGAAAGGGGTGGGGGGAACAAAAAAAAAAAAAAAGACTAACTAGCTAGAGCACTCAGTTCCAAAATCTTTTGTTATCTGCAAGTACATAAATTGTGAATGACAGGTAAATTCATTACTTTAAACAGTTTCTAATTCAAGTTGACGGTGTGCCAAACCTTAATCTGCACCAGTTAGTTACTATGCCCAAGGGACATCACTGAGGTGTGCAGGCAGCATGCTGACTTCACGTGACAACTGTATGTCCTCAAGTACCTCTACTCAGTCAGTTGGTTGGTCACATACAGAAGCTGGCACTATAAAAACAGTCTTACAGCTCCTGAAGGGTCTGAAAGTACCAGTTAGTCAAGCTGGAGAAATTGTTCATACTCTTCTGGCAAATCTGCAGCTCCTAAGCTCTTTAAGATACTTCTCCCCGCAAACACGTATTCGTGACAGTCTCTTCCCTTCATTGCACCCACTCTCCAGCCCAGTAATTTCAAAAGCCTCCTTTCTGTAGTCTTTAAAAACAAGCAAGCAAACAACAGAAGGAAACCAAAACTTGTTTCAACGCTGCAGTTCTCCTCCCCCAAAGCAGATGATCCTTGTCTCCGTGCTGTTTACATTTGTGTATTAAAGTTTCTTGCCAATTCATCAATCCACTGAAATACAGCCTCGCTCTGCCCTCTTCTCATACTTTATGACTACTCCTTCCCCTTACACCGTAGCCCAGCTGCGGCACAACAGGTGCCCTGTGAAAGCCATTCCTCAGTGCTGACACACAGGTGCAGGGACTGCAGCGCCTGGCGCAGGGTTCGGAGCACACCTACCAGGTCACACCGTACCCTCGCCGCATTTCAGGAACGTGCATGGTAGGCAACAAGACAACGGCGAGCACTTAGCAAGAGAGACAGTTCAGCTCATTCACTTTTTTCATCATGAAAGTTTTGAAGCAAGATGTATTTAATTCCCAAGATCGTACTAGCTGTATCTATGACAAAGGCAAAGAACACTAAGCATCAAAGAATTACTTACTGGAGAAAAAAACAACCAACAAACCAAACACACCTCTGTTACATGGAAGGAACTAGAGGATGCCCACTTCTGCTATTAGGCAGGCAATTACAGCAGAAAATGTTCAATTAGAGAGCTCTGCTAAAGCACTGAAGCTCCTTCAGAAGGCTTCTGGACTGGATAGTTTGGGTTGGTCTTCCTGCCTTACCTGATTCGAACAGTCTGAATTACAGGTATTGGATGTGAAAGCATTGAGATATTCTCCGACCGCCTACATTTAGATTAACGCCATTTTTCTCACCCCAAGGTTCAAGCATGCAGTCTTCCTGAGCTTTAGGACAAGGGTCACTCTGAGTTTACAGTTTACCCTGCAGTTAGGTCCCTGCACAGTCCAATTCTAAAACTTTTCCATTTCATAGCTCGAACTGTGGTTCATTGCTCTATTGGAGAGGGAACTTTGTGAGCAAGGAAATCACAAAAGATTTCAGAAGAGATCTTGAAGTAACAGCCATGGTTCCAACCACCCTGAACAAGCAGGCAATTGCTAGTAACAGTAACTGTTCCCATCAGCTCAGCTCCACTGAAGGGGATATGCGAGTGGAAACACTTCCAGACAGGACTTACAGCCTTCTCTTATTTCTCCACTCTCAAACAAAAGTCAAACACAACTTCAGAAAACCTGGAACCTATGCAGCAGTGCTTTAGCAGTAACGCAAGACATCCCCTTCTCACAGAAATGTCATTTCAGCATTGTGAAGACTGACTAGAAGTATGCACTGCTCTGCTGTGTTTTTAGATATACCAGGAGCTTATCATTCCTCCCTCCTGCTCCTATTTCCTCCCACAGCATATACAGGTGACAACATTTGATGAAGCTGGTCGGCCCAATTAAAGTTATTAGGGGGCAATCTACATACTTTCTTCCCCAACTGGATGACCTTTTTAAGGAGAAACACCACGATCTCCCAACCAAAACCATCTGCAGCAGCGTAAGTAACACTGGAAACATTCCAGTATACCCAGTAAGTAATGTGGGGGCAGAGAGGGTGTAAAGGCAGGGAGAGGAGCTATGACTATGAATTTATGGAAGCAGTTACAGAAGTTCAATGTGATAGCAACAAGAAAATCTCTCACAAAAACAACTTAAAATGACTTTATTTTTTCAGTATATTAGCACAATATTTACAAAATTGTTTCATAAATAAAAACATTTTCTTGGGCAAAGACTATAGATCTATAGATATTTAAAATGTCTATATATTTATATATACACACATACGTACACACACAAATAGAACCATACAGTTATGAACAACTTTGGTTTTAAATTACTGGTGGGGAAGGGCTGGGTGTAACAATGACTTTTTAAACTCTTGCTTTTAAATGGGTACCTACAAGAAATCCAGAGCAGAGCCCTTAACACAATAACAGGATGGTGGGTTTCTCCCATTTCTGGGGCAATTGACTCTGCAGCCTGTCCACGGCCACCGAGCTCCTCCCGTTTTGGCAGTGCCTAGTAAGAGCTCGACCTCATCCCACAGTGACACAAACAGGTTCTACTGCAGTTTGCTTTACAGAAGTTAACATAAAGCTATTATACATAATGGTTTTTATAAGGCAGAATACCTCAACAGAATTCCAGTTGGTTTGTTTTTCATTCCTCAACTGCTCAACTTTCAACTTGACAGAGGGAATCACTAGTTATAAATAGGGAGCTCTGCACGGTACTTAATCAGGTAAATTCTTACACTGAATTGTTAATGGAGAGTTACCTCCCATCTTTAGGCAGAGATTGCTGTGATTATAGAAAAATCTGTATCCAAAGATTCATGTATAGGAGCTCAAATCTTATTATGAATACTCCCACTGACAAACTTCAAGGCATGAAAGTAAGTGTAAACCCTACGTGCTTCTTAAATGCTTTATTCCGAGTAACACTCTTCACTTGGCCAGTTCCACTGATTTTAGTGAGGGCAGGACCGTGGGTTCAGTCCTGCAGCCCCAGCAAGAGGACTGTTTCTGAAAGTACATACTGCACAATCAGATACCTCGATTTTATTTTGTTGAATTATTGATGCAAGGTGTCTGCATCGAGACTTGGAGCTCAACATGCAGAGACTTGATTCTCTGCAACATGCATCCACAACATGGATATGAACCTTAATTTGTAACTAAGGCATGCCAAATTACTCAGAATCTTTACAAACGTGGATTACATTACTGTTTGGCAACAGCTTTCCAAACGAAGTTTTAAATTGTTAGAAGGAGAAAACCATGTGTGCCTTTGAAATGTATTACCTTAGTACTAATAGGAGACAGTGTGAAGATCTCTACAAAGTATACGCAAGGTCCAAGAGAAGTCAAATATATTGAAACAACTTTCGAAACAGCTGTAAAACGTGCTAAAATCTCACAGAATGTGCAAGTCCTAGAAAACTGACTTTTACCCGTACCACTTACATATATACAGAAACTGAGCCTCCTCACTTCCAATCAGCTCCTCCTACTTATTTTCTATTTTATGTATTTGTGATGTAATGGCAGCACCAGAAACTTGGGTCAGAAACAAAATAGCTCCTTTTTCCATTCAAGAAAGCAGATTTCAAAATTCTGTCAAAAATACACTAAATGGGACAGCTCCTATTTTTATGACGCATCAATGAGTTTTACAAATTCACTAAGAAAATCTGAAATTGCTTCCAGTACCACACACTGCACAACATGAACACACACAAGAA